ATTATATATATACTTTATTATTTATCTACTATGTTATTATATTCATTAAAAAGAATATAAATCAAAAGGAAGTTATGGGATAACATTAAAATGTAGTACCTTTTGTGTCATTAGACCCTCATTTTCATATTTTGAAGACGTCAATTAATTAGTGTCGTCAATAGAGATCAATGAGACCAAAATCTAATGTCAAAATGACGTGCGCTTACTACTTGGGATAGTCAAAGATTCGTCGCTGATTTGTACCATCTCGATTTCGATTCGATCAGAATTTCAACTTTACTTCAACATTTGGTTTTCGACGTCACATCAACTTTATATTTCTGACTGGATATTGATAGTTTAATAATTCATATATTAAATTAAAATAATTAAACGGTAATATATTATGCTTTCATTGTCGCTCGTTGTTTATTAAAAAGTTATTAATAAATGAAAATTCGTATAAGCTTCAAATATAGATTTCAGAATTATAACCAGATTTTATGCACAGTTCAAGGGTCCAAAGTTGCATGCTGCGCTAGTCTCGTCATCGGGTTGCAGCTGGTTGACGCAAAAAAAGTAAGATCGGATATCTTTTGATCAGACCTCGTACATATATTTTATAAGCATAATAGTATTATTGTAAGCATTGCGAAATTTTTGTAAATCCTTTTAAAGCCAAAAGGCAAGAAATAATTAAATATCTATCTAAGGCTTGTTAATTTTTCATCATATTAATGTGGTTCCTTACAACAAACTTGTTATTCTCTTATTATATATTTAAGGTTTAATCAAAATTTTTAACTTGGGATACAAACTTTTTGCATCTATTTTATTATAAATAGATTTCACGGAATCCGTGACTCTGGGGAAGAAAAAGAATGGAATAAAATTATATCTTTATTTTCACTAATGTCTAATTGAAATTTAGCGCATTTCTTTCACAATTAAAGATACAAATAATAAATTATATTATCAAAAAGTAATGACTATATTAAAATAACTTGTGTCCAAATAATAATTACAATATTTTTATATCATAAAATTCTTGCAAATATTTTGTTGCTCATCACATTACAATAAATTCCGATTATATGTCACATATTTTTTACTTAAATGTTGAACTCTGGTATCTGTTCCTAAAACGAGCGAACGAGTAAGCTTCCAAAGTTAATATATGTTTATGTTATTTGATATATTAATTAAAAAACACATATTATTATATCATAAATGTTTCTTTATATTTTTTTATAACTATAATTTAATATAATTGATTTCTCTTTTCTTTATCATACATATTTTTTTTATTTAAAAGCGTTATTTTATGGAGAGATCTATAAAATAACGCTTTGACATTAACGCTTTAGACATTATTAGCTTCACCAAAAGACAATGTCTATAAAAAATTAAAAATAAAAGTTATTTGTGTACGTACCTCAAACATAAAAGACTTGCTCAGTATTTTTGGACCACACAATAATGTTGGCTTGACATTCTTTGAAAACATTATTGTGTATAATAATCTAAAATGTCAATTTTTTATAAATATATGCATGTGAGCATGTGCGTATATGTTGTGTTGCATTCACAGACTTCGATAATTAATTAACGGCCTCACCTCAAATTTCGATAAAATTATGCTCATTCGACGCGTTTTTGTACAAAACGAAAGAGTATAGAAAAGAAAAGCGTCGCTCTACTCCGCGAAACGAGATATTAATAGTTTGACGACTATTTAGGTTACAAAATCTGTCATACCGACGAAATGCAGCGACATGAGTATGCTCTAATATGGCCATATGCGCATGCTGTGTGGCCACATGCGCATGCGTTTTGGTTACATTTCGCTAGAATGCACTAAATTTAAACTTAAAATATAAAATACTATACAATTAAAACATAATTAGGCGGAAGAGGTTGAGCTCGCTTTGCGTTGTAAAGTATATGCGTGGACACAGTGGGTTCCGCCCCCCCCCCCCTACAGGGGGACACCACTTCCGAAAGATATAACCTAATTTAACCTAACCTAACCCAAACCCAATTTGTTTCAAATCCGAAATCGCAACATAGTCAATTGCATAGACATAGTATATCTAGACCGAGCGTTTGCCTTTATTTAAGGAGTGGGGGTAAAGATACACGTAGAAAAGGACATACTCTGTTTCGTGCCCCTTGCGTTCTCTCTCGCTCGCACGTAGCATGACGAAAGAGAGCGCTATGCTCTGTGCGAGCGAGAAAGAACGCAAGGGGCACGAAACAGAGTATGTCCTTTTCTACGTGCACCTCGGCTCCCACTCCTCAACACTCGGTCTAGATATACTATGTTTATGGTCAATTGGAACGTGGTCAATCGAAACTAAAATTGGGTTTGGGTTAGGTTATATCTTCCGGAAGCGAAGCCACCCCATAGAGAGGGAGGGGGGGCGGAGCTCCGTAAAGTAAGCCGGACTACTTTAACTTTTTAATAATTAAAATTATCTAATCGTTTAGTGATCGTTTAGTGGTGATTGGTAGCCTAATTAAAAGTTTGGTAATCAATCGTTTTCTTTTAATTAAATAATTAAAATGTTGGTGTAAAGTTAGTTGGATATTTTTTAATTTTTAGTCTAATCGATTAAATAAGAGCTTATTTAATCCAGAATCGTAAAGCCCGTATCAGACTACGCATTGAAGATTCAGATTGAAGACTCAAGATTGAAATTTGACCAATCAGAATAAAGAAATTTTGGTCTCTTTTGTTCTGATTAGTCAAATTCCAATCTTTACTCTTCAATCTTCAATTTTCAATGCATTCAAGTTAAATATGTTGTTTAATATAAAAAATAAAATAATTTAATATTGGTTTACAAACGTATATTGATTTACAAATGTATATTTGTATTTACAAATAAATGATAGATAATTCTATTATTAAAAAATGTCTTATTCGTCTGTTAAAATATCTGCCAGTAGCTAATATAGCGTGCTATATTCATACAATTACAAATATGTGACATATTTATAAATTAATATGTTATTGTTTTAAATTAATTACTTCATTTTGTAAATTTGTAGCGTTTTCGGACGAACGGGTTAATCCAACCTTAGAACATATATAAATGGAAGGGGAATGCCTTTGTTTCCCGATAGAAAAACATGTCGGAAGGAAGTGAGAAAGAAAATCATAGGCCGGTATTCATAGTCAGTTCTTATTTCAAGACCGTCTTAAGTAATGTCTTAAGATGCTAATACGGCTCTCTAATTGATTTAGGACATCTTAAGATTGTGCTTAAGACGGTCTTAAATATAAGAACTGGCTATGAATACCGGCCATAGTTGCCTCTCTCTTGTGAGTAACTGCTCAAAAGTGCGCATGCACGGCTTACCGGTTTGGCCCAATGGAAAATAAGGTTACATTAGTCACATGTGTGTGTACACAAAAGTATGTATATCTACAGACACGATGCTTGTATGTGTAATTACTCACAAGAGAGAGGCAACTATAATTTTCTTTCTCACTTTCTTCCGACACTTTTCAGCCTGTTATTCCCCTTCCATTTATATATGTTCTAAGAATCCAACCCGGTTCAATTAATCACTATATTTTACTATAAATTCAAGCTTTTTATTGGCAGAGACGATGCAATGACGTCATTAATCACTATAAAAGCGATTAAACCTGCTACGTCTGAAAACGCTATTAAAATACTTATCGGTACATCATTATATTTTGTGTATATTCTCTATTCTTTATCAATGTAACACTTCAGTTCTCTTTTTATTGATAAATACACATAGTCTTTACTAATAAACACAATGCCAATTTAATTCGATTTTCCGATCGTTGCGTCGTTCGTCGCTTGTCGCGTTCAATCGCCTCAAATCGCATTCAGGGTGCCATTAGGGTGCAAACCCATGCAGCGGAATAGTGTAACGCGGAACGAGAGCATGACCAATCGTGAGCGTTCTGCAGTTTTCGCTACGCTCACGATTGGTCCGCTCTTGTTCCGCGTTACGCTTTTCCGCTGCCATGGGTTCGCACCCTCAGGCCGGATTTACACCTTGGCAGAAAAGCAGAAAGCATAAAAGCAGAAGCCAATCAGAACTCGTGCTAGAAAAGCAGAAGCCAATCAGAACTCGCGCTGAAAATAAGCAGTACATTCTGCTTTTTTAGCGCGAGTTCCGATTGGCCTCTGCTTTTCTGCTTTCTGCTTTTCTGCCAAGGTGTGAATCCAGCCTCAGGGTGCAAACCCATGGCAGCGGAAAAGCGTAACGCGGAACAAGAGCGGACCAATCGTGAGCGTAGCGAAAACTGCAGAACGCTCGCGATTGGTCATGCTCTCGTTCCGCGTTATGCCCGTATCAGACTACGCATTGAAGATTGAGATTCAAGATTCAAGATTAAAATTTGACTAATCGGAATAAAGAAATTTTAGTCCTTTTTGTTCTGATTAGTTAAATTCCAATCTTTAATCTTCAATCTTCAATTTTCAATGCGTAGTCTGATACGGGCATCGCTATTCCGCTGCATGAGTTTCCGCCGCACCCTCAATGTGAACGAAGAAAAATAAATTTTTACAAGCTCGTCGCGCATCGCTCATCGCGCATCTCTCATCGCGTCCAGTATGCGAGGCTGCGAGCTGCGAGCTGCGAGGGCTATTAGAGAATAGGCCTACAGTAAGAAGGAGAACTATTCTTGGTTATCAGTACAATTATGTAACAGCAAATATATGTTAATAATAAGAATTATGTTAACAAATAAAAAAGTAAGTGCAAAATTGTTATTAATTGAACATTTATGAAAACAAGTTCCTGCACGCTTATATTTATAGGTTATGGTAAAGAGTTGAGTTATTTCTCATTCATCAATTATTTTATTTTACAGTTAAATCAATGGAAATAAGCAATTGATTAGCGTTTAGGGCTATCATGTTATTTGTTACTCATTCAATAAAAATATGTCGGCACATATCATGCAACTTTGTGTCAAAATTTTCTATCATCACGGTTTGTAGCATTGACACTAATTTAAAAAATTTGGTATACTACTTTATATCATTCAAAGAAATTTGAATCCTAGTGTTCTGGCTTCCTAAGGCAAAAGTCAATGAAAACTTTGCGCTTGGAGGAACCAACACAAACGATGGAAGATGATCGATTGCAGATTGGTGCAATAACTCCAATAATTCCTTTTCCTATTAAAAAAAATGCCGTATGTGAAATCAAAAAAAATTTACATAAAGTAGAAAAGCCAGAATGGAAATCTATAATAATCAATTTTACTATACTTCATAAGCACTATCTTAAGTTGTCAAAGATTAAGTTGACATGTATGTATAACAAACATATATATCGGATTTTTGAGATATAGTAAATTATAATTATAAAAGAATTAATTAAAACATAGCATGATACAATTAAGTCATAATTATAATAAATATTTATTTTATAAATTAATTATTTTGTTTATAGCTCTTGTTGTAGCAACAACTATGGCAGGATATGCATTAGCTCCTGCACCATTCGACTTTTACACATTTACAATGTGTTCCCTCGGTACAGGCTTAGTTTCTGCTGCGGCAAATGCAATTAATCAATTTTTTGAAGTTCCATTTGATGCACAGATGTCGCGGACGAAAAATCGAGTATTAGTATGTGGTCATTTGACGTAAGTCGTTTTAGACGCGTTATTTTTTTTATTTTGGAAGGCTTACATTTATATAACTTGATATTAAATAGCTACACGTTTGAATATATCATTAGGCCTACTCATGCAGTAGCATTTGCAACAGTATCTGGCATTGTCGGATTATCAATACTTTACTATGAAGTAAACAGTGTGACAGCAATGCTAGGTGCTGCTAATATTATTTTATATACACTCTTCTATACTCCTATGAAACGCATCAGTATTGTCAATACATGGGTTGGTTCTATTGGTGAGTATGTTTTCTACATATATTGTTTAAACAATCAAGTGGTAAACTGGCAGATAAAGCCAAGGCGCGGGTATCGATGCGCGAGCTTATTATCATTAAATTTTATTAACTAATGTGCATTAAAAATGTACGTTTCGGATTGTTCTTTGGTCCATCTTTAGCATGGATATAAATATATAAAGATTAGATTAATAAGATTAGAATTTAAAAACTTGACACAACATTTGCAGTTGCAGTCACATTTCAAATTAACAAAATTAATAAAATTAACAATCAAGAAGAAGGCTCACTAAAATCCGCGTGGAATCTGTACAAATAAATGAACAATGTCCGAACGCCATCGCCACACGTATGTCGTCGATAGTTTACAATATGATTATATATATATATATAATTACAATTTAGTGAGCCTTCTTTTTGATTATTAATTTTAATTTGAAATGAGACTGCAACTGCAAATGTTGTGTATATCAAGTTTTACAATTCTAATCTAATCTTTATATATTTATATCCATGCTAAAGATGGACCAAAAAACGGTCCAAAACGTACATTTTTAATGCACATTAGTTAATAAAATTTAACGATAATAAGTTCGCGCACTGATATCTGCGCCTTGGCTTTTATCTGCCAGTTTACCACTCGATTGTTCTTGCCCTGAGCCTATTGCTGCTATTATTGTTTAAAGTTATAACTTTTTTTTGCAGTTGGAGCAATACCCCCTCTCATGGGCTGGGCAGGTTGTACTGATAATATACTCATGCCAAGTGCTTGGATTTTACCTGGTATTCTGTACATGTGGCAGTTTCCACACTTTAATGCTCTTTCATGGAACTTGAGACCAGATTACTCACGAGCTGGCTATCGAATGATGGCTGTTACAAATCCAAATCTATGTCGTAGAACAACTGTAAAATATACAATAGCATTATTGGCTCTGTGTTATTTAGCTCCTATATTGGATTTAACTCATTGGTGGTTTGTACTGGCTTCAACACCAATTAATGCATCTTTCCTTTATTTAGGTAATATATATGTACTTTGTATAAATTTTTTTATTATTTTTTATAAAGAATATATTATGTACAAAAAAAATACATATACAGGGTAGGCCATTTTAATTATACAGGGTGTCTCACAACCTCCGTACAATACTTTAATAGTGTATTCTACAGATAAAATAGATTAAAAAATTCTAATACAAAAATTTTGAGGCTGCAATAGTTTTTGAGTTATAAGCGATCAAAGTTTGCGAATTATACGCGTAGAGCTCGCCGCTCAAATCCGTACACATACACGCGTACCGATCTGTCATTTGTTATTGATTTTACAAATTAGGTAATATTGATTTTTATTGCACAGCTGATTTTATTGAAATTTAATGATATCTTATTTAATTATTTATAAATATAATATATATGTTGCAAAGTCTTTTTATAAATTCAAACTTTCTACAAAAAGCCTACGTTCTTTATAAAATATCATAGAATATTAAAGAATTTTAGGTAAACCTTGATAGATTATGACCTTGACATATGTTGTCAAAAGACATGGCTCTGAGTAACTTGCAAAAAATTTTTGCCGTCGCTCGTTGTTTATTACAAAGTTATTAACAATTGAAGATAGTGACCAACCGATGCTTGCAACATAAGCATACACTTTCCCACCCACACAAGAATTGTGAGGTAGACCTCGCTTCGCGTTGTAAAGTATATGCGTGGAAGCAGTGGGTTCCGCCCCCCCCCCCTCTCCTTATGGGAGGGCTCCATTACCGGGAGATATAACCTAATCCAAACCTATTTCTGATTTAAAACTTTGGTTTAATTCTAAAGCCCCTCCCCCGCCTATGCAATTACTTAAATATACAATTAATAACTTAAATACACACAACTAAATACTTAAATATATAACGCTCATGCATGGAGAAGTTCAGATTATCGCATTTAATACATGTTTTTATAATATCAGTTAATTATTAATAACTTTGTAATAAACAACGAACAACGGCTAAAATTTTTTGCAAGCTACTCAGAGCCATGTCCATGACAACATATGTCAAGGTCAATTCATGAGATCGGCACTAATATCAAGGTTACCGAATTTTATAATTAAGTTCATTTTATAGAAAAAGTTTGCAACACATATACAGGGTGAGTGAGGAAGAGAAGGAAATATTTTGGGAGACGATAGTATGTATAAAAAAAAGTATTAGTGATAGTATGTATCATTGTAAAAAAAAGTTTATATGAACATGGTTATTATTCTCAATAGCTTCGGAGATATAGCTGTTTGAATTTTGTAGAAGTACAATAATAATGAATGATACATGTGCTACGTTTGCAACAATATTCAAAAATTGAACCGTGAACATCAATACATTTTACAACTCGTGTTCTAAGATTGCGTGTCGTTTCTCTGAGTGCAGCGTGCCGTTTTTTTATATGAATAGCAGCATTCAAAACGATTGAGAATAATAAACCTTCATATAAACTTTTTTTACAATGACCCATACTATCATTTCCCAAAATATTTTTCTCTCCTCCTGACTCACTCTGTATAAAATGTATATAAGTATATACATCTGTATATATGTATGCTTGAGATATTCTCAATGTTTAAATAATGCTCTTAATTTTAGCCTGGAAATTCAATAACCACTCAGATAGTGCTAATTCTAGAAGATTATTCCGATTTTCCTTACTTCATTTACCTCTATTGATGATGCTGATACTCTCAAGCAAGAAGTATTGGACCAACATGGAAAAAAAAGAGGAAAATGTATCTCTTTATGAGACAGCAAAGAAAAGTGGCTTACTAAATATTTTTACATCTACTGCTTCAACAATTTCATCTGTGTGATAGTAATTTTACATTAATAGAGTTTTCAGCAATAGTACAAATTATTATATTGCGAACTTGGGATCTATTTGATTTTTACAATATCTCTCTTTCTTTCATTAATTAAATAAGATATAATTGGATAAAACAGACCATAGATCTAATCAAAACTAGACTACTTTAAGTTTAGTATTAATTTAGTTAATAAAAAAAATCCCATTAAAATTATATGTAAAGTTGCTTTCATAAGAAAATAATGACATTCACAGAGAACAAAAATTAAAATATAATATAGTTTTATTTAAAATATTTTAACATAGCATCATTGTATTTTCAATATTTTTACGTTTTGCTTCAAATTCTTTTGCCATTTGCCTTCTCGTCTTAGTTAGATTTCTGTGACCAGCACAGTCTAAATTTTCTATGTAACATTTATTTCTACAGCATTGTCGACATAATTTATATTCGCATTTAAAACCCTGCAATTTAAACCATGCATTAGAATTTTTCTCCAAAATGTTTTGTTAAGCATCAATCATTTTCGAAAATATATTCAAAATTATGAAATGAAATAAAAGAGTTATAAAAGTTTTAACAAACCAGAGGATTTGGACAAGCATGACACCGATCTGAACTTCTCTTAGGAACAGATGTTGCTCTATTCGGTCTACGCGCTATTCGTTTAAGCTTCTTTGAACGTTTCCGCGATATTTCGTTTCCGTCCTCATCTTTGTATTCCCGTTTTCGAAGTGCGTCTTCCTGAAAACTCTTATTATTATTTTCAAAAAATATTGAACTACAATGCAATAAGAAAAGAATACACTGCATATATTATAAAATATATGCTTAATTTACTTGTGATTTTTGTATATGTTCTTGTGGAAGCTCTCGTACATAAGGTTGACACAACCATGGTGGCAACTCCAAATTATAATCTAGAAACAGAAGAAACATGTATATATAAATATGGATATAATAAATACAAACAATGTTTATTAAAACATCAAATTATTACTTGTCTTTTCTATCTGCCATGTCAAATGTCCTTCGTGATATGGTAAGTAACGATCTCTCAAGGTGTATACAACACTTTTGAAAGCTTCCATACTGGAGTTTGTTGCTAAATTCTCCCTCTCCTCTTGATTTTCTGCTAAACAAAATCTACTCTCTAATTAAAAGCATGCTGTTTGCACGCTCAGAAATTATATGATACAATTCATGACTTGCTATGATTAAGGGTCCAGTCTTATTTAGAAAATAAAAAAATCGATTTTTTTTTTTATTTTCTGAAAGTATGATGTCTGAAAAATGTCTTCCAAATTTTATTGAAAAATTCGCTAAATTGACGGAGTTATGAAACTTTGAATAAAACAGCACGCGAGTCTTCGATGCGCTTGATTGAAAACTTTAAACTTTTTTCTCAAAACACTGTTTTTAAAGTTGGTGTAACGGATATATCTTAAAAATGAAAACCAAATAACTTCAATTTTTTTTTAACTGAAAGAAAACATTTTTTTGAGGATACTGAACTTAATCAGAATATTTAACAAGTAAATAAATTAATAGAATATTTAATATTTTTTTCACTTTTAAGAAATTAAAAAATTTCAGTAAAATTTAAATATCTAATTTTAAAATGACACTACTACTTTGTTATTTTTTTTTCTTTTTTTAATAAGATTAGATTCTCAGTACCCCAAAAATATTCTACAGAATAAAACTAGACCAAAATTTTCATTTCAGATAATTACGGAGACAAGGAACAGCATGACATATCATAACAGCATGTCGAACCATGTATTTTTGAATACGCTATACGCAGAGGCTCGTATTGAGCAAAACAAAACTAAATATCCAAGATTTAATGATACTAACGTATTGTTTAAATATCAATAAAAACGTATGTAAAGTATCAAAAAAAGATCAATTTCTAATATTCTTCAAAAAACATTTTTAAAATTCATCAATTTTTTTATACTTCTAGAGTAGACTAGGCCCTTAAAAGATCAATACATACACATGATGGAACAACTTAAATAAATGACCGCGGATATATGAAGCCGGTGCTGGATATTGCTCTACAAGCTTCAAATATTCCAGAGCAGGCTCCCAACAAGCAGGGTAACGAGATTCGAATATGTATGGATTGTAAAGATTTCCTTCGGCTGACATCACACCCTGCACTTGGGTTTCTTCAATGCACCTCTGTAAGTCTTGCATGCATTGTATGTTACCATTGGCTATCACGGGAATTTCCACGGCGTCCCTGATTAAATATAAAATAATTTATTAACCGCTCTTACAATAATATTTACTTTACTTCGTCAAGTTAATAATTAAAAAAGAAAAAATTTGAGTAAAAACTGAGAAAATAATATTTATTTAAAATATTAAAAATAATATTTGATTACAAATTTATTTTATTAAAAAAGTTAAAATAAAAAATATATTTTTTCTTTCTTTCTCTCTCCCTTCTTCCCTTCCTTTCTTTCTCTCTATATTCTCCCTTTCTCTTCTCCCTCTCATTAATTCTCCATGTACATAAATCACTTTCTCCAGCATGATCCGTTGTCTTAAAGAAAGTAATGGCAGAATCACAGCAATATCATAAGATATATTATATCGAATTATAATTTTTCCGTTTATCATTATATGATGTATCTATCTTGTATTTAAGTTTCTGTCACGGTTAAATATAAAAAAACTGCAAAGCATGCCAACAAGATTAAAAATATGTATTATTTATTTGTATCAATTTTTAATTTCTGATACAATTCCAACAAAGGATTTAGCATATTAAAGTGATTGTGTTAAAATTTAATAATGATTCATTATTAATAATGATTATGCAATGTACGATTTTAGTTGTGTATATAGTATCCTAAAAAAGTGATGCTTTATATAATATAACACAATCATTCTAATATTCTGAATCTTTTGTTGGAATTGTATTAAAAATTAAGCTGATACAAACAAATACTATACACTTTTAATCTTGTTAGCATGCTTTGCAATCTTTATATTTACCCGTTTCTAAACAAAAATTGGATTTCTTATTTATTTATGACTCCTAATCCTTTACAACCATATTAAATTATGATATCAAAAATCATGAATATTTCTATTTGACTTATTCAAAAAAAAAAAAAATTCACATTTCTCATAATTCAATACGATTGTCCTGAAAAATCAAAGACTAAGAGTTAATTAGAGTAATCACCTTAAAAGAAGAACAATTACCTTACGGCTTTAATATGTTTCCAAGATGCTAATCCAGTCAATGGTCCTTTTTGCTCTCTCGTACGTCCATGAACAGTAAGTAAGCTAGCACCTGCATTCTGTAGCATGCGAGCATATTCCACAGTACGACTGATTTCTGGGAACACTCGTAATTTACAGGTGACAGGTATATGCAATCCATTCTTTAAAATCGACACTGTATACACAAGAAATGTATCATTATTAAAATATTAAAGCGTTAAGCATAAGTAGAAAATATGCATACTGATTCTATTTAACAAAACCCAGTCATCCTGTAAGAATGCTCCATAATGTCCACGTTTTGCAATTGCCTGTGGACAACCAATATTGATGTCCACTGCATCACAGTATGGTTCAACCAAACGTGCAGCTTCCAATAGTATATCTGGATCATTGCCACAAAACTAAAAAAAGAATTATCATACAAAAATTAATGATAAATATTCTTCTTTGTTTACTCTTTTCCACATTTAATCCTTTGCGCTCTATATATTTCTGTACTATATTAATAAAGTATAATTTATTATCCATTCATTCATATACATAATATTCATAGCATTGAAAAGATGTAATTTCATATTTATTTATATTTATATACTTTAAACTCTAAAATAAATTAAATTTATTTAAGAATAAATAAATTTTAAAGATTTAAGAATATAAATGTGTAAGATGTGTATCTGCAGTTTTTAGATTCTCAGGGTACCTATCCGATAAAATTGCACTTTAGAAAAAAATTATCACTATATTTTTAAATATAATACATATCTGATTAGACAATTTTTAAATATGTACTATATATGAGATGTTTAAAAAAAAAGATTTTCATTCTATGTTTAAATAAGAAAGTTCTAAGAGATTGCGGCGACATCCATAAAAAAAATAAAAAAAAAAGTTACAAAGATATTCCTTTGAAGTCTCGAAAAACTCGATGTCCAATCAAAGATTTATTTTACATAATAATTTAAGGTGTCTATCCAAAGCTTGTAAAAAAATTTCCTGAGAATTTCCTGATTCTTCAGGTAATTTGTTCAAAATTCCAGATAAAATAATTTTTAGCTGGAACTTTTTAAAATAATTTTTTTTTTGTATGCTTTTCACTCATACAAAAAAAGATAAACCACTTAAATTTTAAATATTAAATTTAGAAATGTACTGAAAAGAACTAAATAACTTTTGTAAGATAAGCATTTTTCTCTCATTTGCATAATATTGTCACTTTCTATCATTAATTGTAAAGGCCATTGCACGTGAAAAAATTTTAGTCGTAACCGTAAGGCCGTAAGCAAATCAACCAATTCAACCAACAGTTCAAACATTCTTATTACGTTTTAGAATGCTTGATTGTGATTAGTCGATTTGCTTACGACCTTACGATTAAGACTAAAACTTTAACGTGCAATGGCCTTTAGAATTACAATAAAAAATGTATACTCAGTATTGCGTATTCAGTATTTTTTGCTATGACAATGAACATATAATCAAAAAGAGAAAGATATACAGGGTGTCCCATTTTAACTTTCTCGCCACCCAGATAGCAAAATGCTAGCAGCATGCGTGCAGATTGGCAGCAAATTTAATCAGAATTCCATGCCAAAACCATAGCCATCTGTGACCACATTAAGCTCAGGTTTTGTCGACAGAGCCTGCTGACAGGCAATGTGAGCAAATTGGCTGCAGAAATCACGCAGAGCCTGCGCGCAATCTGACGGCAGATTGACAGCAGAAATCGAGCAGTTTTTAGACATTTATATAAAATGGTACATTTAAATGGATTTAAACATTTAAAAGGTCTCGATTCCAAGTAGCAAGATGACAGTAAATTTTGGTCACAAAATAATCAATTAGACGTCCTAAAGTTAGGTCTCATAAGATTCAAAAATGACGTCAATAGTTGATATGTCACCTTCACGAGATGTCATTTTCTGACGTTTGTATTAATAACATAAATTTATAATATTAATAATATATATTAATGTAATATATATAGGAAAATTTGAATAATTTAATTTATGAAATTAAATCAAAATTAAAATATTTTATTTATATGGAAGTTAATTTCTATTTTATATCTTAAATAGATATAATAACAAACGATTTTCACTTATTTGGATAATTTCTTTCCGAATAAGTGAAAATCGGACATTTATCTGTCTGATTTTCTAAAAATCAGTTCAATATCTGAATTCCCGGTATGGGAGTCGTATCAGAAATTAAACTGATAGAAATAATTACGATGTTATTAGTCGCATTTTGCAGGCATTATATACGCTCGTGACAAGAACTTGAATACGGGTATAGAAAGCGAATAGTGCGCCGCATAGCTGTAAGCGAATAAACTGTACTATTTCAATAAATTATATGAATGCTAAAAGCTGCAGATTCTGTTTGATTTCTACTGCCAATTTACCATCAGATTGCGCGCACGCAGATCTTGCTCGATTTTTGCCGACAATCTGATGTCAAGTCATGTTAGCAGATCCTGCTCGATTTCTGCTACCAATCTGCCGTCAGATTGCGGGCGCGCAGATTCTGCTTGATTTCTGCTATCAATTTGACATCAAATTGCGTTGTGCAGATTCTGCTCTGTTTTTGCTGGCTATCTGCTATAATAATTCTATGCAAATCCTGCTCGGTTTCTGCTACTGATCTGCTGTCAAATTATGTCAGCACGTTTTGTAACATTTCTGCTGACATTCTGCTATTATTATTTGATATAACAGACTTTGTATACAATCTGGAATCTTTCTGCTGACAAAAATTTGTAGCAGACGTTTGGCAAAATCTGTTCGAACAGACTTGGCTATCTGGGCATATCTCGAAAACCATGCATTTAAAAAAAATGTTTCAGACAAAAGTTATTTGACTCGAAGGGGAGCATAAGAAGGTGCCATTGGTTTGACCTTGGATAGTCGTTTGAAAGTTACATGAAGGTCATCTTTAATTTCTTAAATGGAAACCCCTATTCTCAATTACATATTCTTATAGCTTAGCTCGAGAGCTTTCCAAAACACTATAATAAAGTATTTTTTCATTAAGTATTTTAATAAAATATCTCATAAAATATTTAATTTTCGATAATCTTACCGTAATATTTTTATGTATACGTAATAATGAGACAAATCAATTAGTGTAAAAAGAAACACAAATAATTGTTTTAAAAAAATACATTGTAAATAATTACATACTTTTTTTTAAAAACAATTAATTTTTTATACCAATAAAAATATTACGGTAAGATTATCGAAAACTAAATATTTTACGAGATATTTTATTTTTTATATCAAAATATGTCAGATTAAGATATAAAATAAGCCGAAAAATACTTAATGAAAAAATACTTTATTATAGTGTCTTGGAAAGCTCTCAAGCTAAGCTATAAGAATATGTAATAGAAAATTGGAGTTTCCATTTAAAAAATTAAAGATGACCTTCACGTAACCTTGAAACGACTATCCGAGGTCAAACCAATGGCACCTTCTTATGTCCCCCTTCGAGTCAAATAACTTTTATCTAAAACATTTTTTTTTTTTGAAAATGCATGGTTTTCGAGATAGTATGGCGTGAAAGTTAAAATGGGACACTGTATATTTATAGGCTTAGTTTACACCGATATACTTTAATACATACTAAGTACTACATTGGCCAATCATAGTCATTCCTTTAAAGACTGGAACGACTGTGATTGGACAATATATTATTTAGTACGTATTAAAGTATATCGGTGTAAACTAGGATATAATATATTTGAAACCACTGAACTCTATACATATATGGAAAACGCCGTGCTACTCAAGATGCGGGATGACATTATGTGATCTTTTCTTTCTTGTTGTAGGCCTTCTTTTTTTAGTGGTAGAATCACCATCAAAAGTCTATGATGGTAGTGGTATCGACTATATATACATATATCAGTGCAAGAATCTAAAAAGAGACAAAAGTCACACAATGCCCTTTGTCATCCCCATCGACATATAGAATGGACTACTGATGGCAATGGAAGGGGTAACCGCACAAGTAAAGTGAGAGGCAGATAATATGTCACTTTCGTTTCTTTCTAATAAAGCCTGATTGGATCAGCAGTACTGCTGATTTTTTGCCAACCAATCAAGCTTTATTAGAAAGAGACGGAGTGATCTCATCTGCGAGTGATATTATCTGCCTCTCACTCTACTCGTGCAGTTACCCCTTCTACTGCTATCAGCAGTCCATTCTATATGTCATGGTCCCGTATTCATAATCGGTTCTTATATTTAAGACCGTCTTAAGTACAATCTTAAGATGTCATAAACCAATCACAGAGCCGTATTAGCATCTTAAGACATTACTTAAGACGATCTTGAGATAAGAACCGACTATGAATACGGGCCATGGTCATCCCGCACGTTTACACCAGGCTTATATGGGAAGGCGCGTTCCAATATGTATAGAGTTCATTGTTTGAAACATATAATTCACAATCATTGGCCAATTAAATTGCCGATGCTTGCAATATAAAAACAAAATGATTAAAAAAAGAATTTTTGAAAAAATTTGCTGGGCTGTTCCGATTCCCCACTTGGGTGCACCCGATATTATAGTGTACGTGACATATACTATAATGTCGGATGCACCCGGGTAGGGAATTGGAACACAGCCCTGAGTTCGAATAAAATTCCATGAGAATTCCCTAATTTTTCAAGGTAAAAATGAAATGCCTGAGAATTCCAGGTTTTCTAGGTTTTTCTAGGGAGTAGACACCCTGGATTTATTTTACATAAATACTAATTGTAATTTTGTGATTAGTAATGTAGACCTGCACAATTAATGGACGATCCTCGCCGGTGCTAGCAAGGGCCTCTCGTCTATACTTCGGATCCCGACAAAACACGGTGGAGTGCAGCATCGGCGTATAACAGAGTTGGGCACCATGTCGCCTACTAAGTAATCTCCATGCCAACTCACTCGCATCTACCATTGGCGCGATTATGCAACGCGGCGAACCCAAATCTTCCCAAACGTTAGTCTTCTTTGAGGGAGTGTCCCCCTTGTCAAGCGATTCCGTCATCGTAGACATTATCTGTGCGCATGAAGATTGAGTGATATATTGCTTGCGGTTACAAAAAAAAGCACTATGCCCTTATTGAAATTGGGCCCCTGGTGAACAGCATTGAGACATGGCTAGGATTGTAGGAACCAAAAGATTGTAGAAACCAAGAGAATTAAAAAGTTCTATGGGCACAATCTTGTAAAATAAGTCTCCTGAGTGCTAGAGCTGTCCAAAAGTTCGCTATTATGACATATACGTACGTATATATGTTCGCTAGACTTCAATTAGACAATTAAAACTTTTTGTTTCGTACTTCGTAAATACCCCCCCCCCCTCCTATCAATTAATATATGACTCATAATTGTTCACTCGGGGCCCAAACTAGGCAATCCTTTAAAGTTAAGGAATTAAATAGTGGGTATAAAAAAATCTGCAAAGAAACTTGTCGCGTGCTGCGATGCAATGTCATTGCAGTTCTAATATAGTGATATCGATTACAACACGGATTTGTACACCTGATATTATATTATGCAACTTGGTATCGTTATATATTGTAACGACTCGGTACCATATTGATATATGATCGATAAAGTAAAGCCCGTTTCCCACGATGCGATTTTTCGTGTTGGATAGCATGCATGATTTGCTGCTTGCTGCCCTGCGCTTTACATTACATAAAGCTAAGCTGGGCGCGCTGCAGGTTTTCGCTTCACATGGAGCGAGGTGCAAAGCTAACTTAGCGGATGGAACGGATGATAATTTGTGCGCTGCCCCTCAAAAAAAAAATTTGAGAAATGACGCAGGAAAAGTTTAGGAGCACTTTTTCTTTTGCTAATTTTAGAAGTGGAAAGAAACCGTCATGAAAAGACGACAAAGAAGACTTTGGATGAAAAAATGGCACACAATGATAACCAAAAAAAAACAACAAGATCATGTCAATTTTGTCACATGATCTAGTCGCTAGTTCTCATTGGTTGTTTACAATGCCTAGCAACAAAATACGCAGAGAAAATAGCACTCGTTCTATCAATGAAAACCGTCAGCGCTACACGCAGCGCTACTCGCAGCAAGCAACTTTTCTCGCTGCGTAGCCTGCACGGTGGCTGGCAGGGCTCCTCGCAAGTAAACTTGCACGAAAAATCGCATCGTGGGAAACTAGCTTTAGTTCTTATTTGCAAGATAAAACATATTTGTAAAAAATACAGAATGCTCTCAAATAATCTATTACATAAAAAAGTCTTCGACAAATTTTTAATTGATATTTATTGTTCTTTCAATGAAGATTTCGATAAATTTTATTTGTTTTACTTAATGTATACCATATTTTTATATGAAATTAAAGATAAAACATTTAATTTTCTATATCTAACCGTAAAAATAATGTTATTAAAAAATAGAAAACAAATTCTCTTTCAATATGACATATATTATTTATTGTGGAGAAGAAGCAAAAGAAGGAAGGAAGAAAATAAGGGAAAAAAGAAGGAAGAGAAAGTGAGAAAGAGAAAGAACTAAATATAATTATTATTATTTATAATTAATCACACATTAAACTTAACATATAAAATATAAATTACGGTTTCATACTTTTATATGTAAATCTCCATAAATGATATTTTTTCTCTTTTTTAGTAGTTGCAGACTTAATTAAAAAAGATCTTAAATTAAAGAAGTTGATCGTTTGCTGCATATCTTTTTATATCATTTAATTTTTGTCTGTTTAGATAACGTCCACATATCAATATAGATACGAATGCAATTATTAACATATATTTTAGTTTATTTATAAATTGTGAGAATATAAAAAAATATGATAAATTATATATAATGTTACATATAATGTCTGAATTTAAATATGTATAACTTTGAATACATTTCTTGAAAGATAACAAACTTTGTAATAATTTATGCAAATTTACATTTTATTTTAATACTAATAAGAAATTATTTTGAGAATATATAACAATACGTAAATGTGAATGTGTATGTAATGAAACAATAAAAAATGGAAAAAAATATCAGCATAGATGTGCAATATGATAAATATCTCATGTTCTGGTATGAATCGTGTATATGAGCATTATTCTCGAATTTAAATTTAAAAATATAAAGCTATGAAGAATATCTCGATGAATAGACTCAGATACTGAGTATATCTTAGTACTTTTCGGGATTTTATTTCTAAAAGAACGGCAAAACATATCCATTACTAAAGACAATGTCTCTCGGTAAGATGCTGCTGATAAAGTTACTCGCGTAATGGCGGGAAGGCGAAAGTGGGACCCGATCGCAACGGCGATCTAGGTGTAGTCGGTTTTGAAAACTCTGACTCTGGTATCGGTGACAATTGAGCGGTCTGCGTGACATATGAGCCGAGCTTAAAGCGTGGCCTCTTCCTGGAGAAGTTTGTATTTCGCCGGCTACTGAGATAAGTTTGATTCCGTTTAGGCATTACGGAAGGCGATATCGGTTCCAAAACGGGGATGTTCCCGGTATTCGAAAGTACTTTTCTAATCTTGTGGACGGTACTCGGAACATCCATAGTGGGTAATCTCGCTGGTGGATGTGGATGATCCGTAGGTGGTGTTGTTAGCTCCGCCACTAATGTTTCGATGACTCGATTATGATGTTCGGTTATTGCAGGCGCGATGTCTGAAGGACCATCTGGAATTATCTTGTTACTGCAAGAACGAGCAAAAGCCGATGACGAAGTTGTTGCCTTTGATTTTGAGCTCTTTTTTAGACGAGCCTGTAAAAACGTCTGTATCCTTCTCATCGTTCCACAGGAACGTTTTGTGGATTCGAGACGGTGTCCGCCGGTGCGACGCTTTCGATCCTTTCCGTCATACCTGCCTTCGGAATAATTCATGATGGAGAAACAACAAGATACCGGCGAAGGCGTGGATGATGACTTTAGGTCTGGCGATTCCCCATGATTTTCCAACTCTATCGTGTTGATCGACCGCGAAGAGGAAACTTTAATAGAAGTCTCAATGGTGCGTGAATCATACGAGAAACAGAGACGAAAATTCCGATCTTTCATCAAGGGCAGCGTCTTCGAGCAAGCATCCTTATCATTCGCCGCTATGTCACCGCTGCGCGTTTCCTCATGCGTTGAGGAAACGTACACATCCGTCGTTGCCGTCATCATCGTCGTATCTACACCCTTCTTGAATAAAGAACCGTTCTTGCAGAAATGAGAATATAGACTTCGTGCGCCAACCACTTGGTCAATATCTTCTCTGTCACCGGTATCGCAGTAAGGTGCACCGCATAGATTACTAGAAGAAGTCATTCTAGAGCCAGTGGCAATGCCAGCAGAGCTCTTCTCCCGCTTTCTACGCACGTATTCGTACGTAGTGAGACCGAGACAAGCAATATAGCCATGGAAAAAGCAGAGATGTATAAGCAGAACGGCAGCAACTGTCGAGAGAACACCGATGAGAGTAGCAAGAACAAGTGAGCCGGTGCCAGGTACCGGCAACGATGGCGCCGTGGCGTTGTTCATCCTCGTATCGTTGTCATTGCTATTATCCCAATATCCATCGTTCACAACTGAATGCGCATTAACAAGCACCAGTTCGCCCAGAGCAAGCGCGGTAACTGCGAGCGCAATAATTAATGTCGATGTCAAGCACGCCAGGAA